GATTGGATAAGTTGTCTTGCAGGGTGAGTACCCGCCAAGACTGGACGCATTCCCCGATGGCATTGCAAAGCAAATGTTTTTAGCAAGTCTTTTAGTTCACTTTTTGTCCTTTGAATTTTAAAATTAATCCTTGATTCCAGCCTTGCCGGTAGTTTTATTTCTGCAGCTCTTTGTCTAAATGAGCACTTGCAGGCTTTTGTAAGTCTCCCTGTACATAATAGACGTTGCCTCGGATAACTAGAGGACTTTTTGCCTCGCGCCCTGTCGGGATTGTCATTCTGCCTCCTTCTTTCAGTTCAGTTATTTCGTGGATTAGGGGCGACCCCGCGTGGCTGCCCGTCCGAGTCGTTGAATTATTTTTGTCTGATATCTTCCCTTGTTCTGCGAATCCGCCAACACGTTTTTTTAGCAAGAGTGCAACGGAAACACCTTAAGTCTCAGATCAATAATTAATGCTCGCCAAGTTCGAATTCCCGTAAGCTTCAATGGACACACTATGAGTGTCGAAATTCAAGTATCACCAGATTTTCCAATCTTTTGACTATTTTTGTTCATTTCGCCTAGTTTCATCCTCCCAGCAGTCCATCTCTTGGTCACAGCTCTTATCTTACCAAGTCTCGGGTAGGTAAAGATAAGCAAATTTTTTCAATTTCTGGAGGCTTATGATTACCTACTACCTGATTCTATTAAAATCAGGGGCACGGGTTTAGTTTATGTCGGAGGTTACTTGCTCTGGGGAGGATTTGTATTCAGCAAAACAGCTGAACATCTAAGAACTTTGTGACATCACAAATTTCGGTCTTCCATATTGTCACCAGTTAAAAGAGGACCTTATTTTGACATTTAATGACAACAGTAAATGGACCTTATGTCTCTTTGTAGGTACCGCCAAAAAGGTATTACAAAGTTGTATTTTTACTTCGATAACTACCTTAAATCATCTTGACCACCCCCACGCAGCAGCCACCGCGAGTTCTTTTTACTTCTTTCTCTGTTACGTACAAATAAATATCGCCAGTTATTTTCTTTTAACACAATTGCTCCTCGGAACAAGTAACCCCGACCATAAACCATGCTCTTGCCAGGTCAATTTCTTCTTGGTTATCTTTTGTACGAAATTTTTGTTGCCTTCCTTCGGACTAGTCATGACACGCCACAGATGCCAGAGCAGTGGGGCACTGGAGGCACAAGTGGCCTGTTTCGACCGCTGGAAGTCAGAGGTGACACTGAAACAGCAAAGATGACTTTTCTCATTTAGGTCGTCTGACCTTCACGCTGCGCCGAACTGCGCTGATCTGTAATTGACATATCCTGACAGAAAACGTGAAAGGATCTGAGATCGCTGTCTGTCTCTCTGTCTCCCCCCCCCCCCATCGGTCTTCACCTGACTTAGGAGTCCATGTGACGTCAACACTATCATAATTTGCTTATCACCATCCTCAGCTCATTACATCCCACGAAATGCAAGACAGCTGAAGTAACAGGGTGGAGGAGGCGGTTCTCCTTCACCCGCGAAACGGTAAGGCACGGTTCTTCCCCATGCTAACGGTCAGTTTTAAAATCTAATTAGCCCAAATAACTACAGAGATATTTCTGCGTCTGTAAATGGGACTTAAATATGTCGCTGATAGGAGTGACATTAAACAGCACTTGGTTTTGCACTTATTCTTCATCTTTTCCGGACAGAGGGGAGACTGAAGTCTTAATGCAGCGGCATAAAAACCTGAACTGTTCGAGTTTTGATGAAAGTCAACGGGAAGATAGATTTGATGCTCTTCTCATTAAAGATTAAGTAGTTAAATTGGCCGAACATGCAGAAAAGCATGTAAGAAATCCTGCATTATCCAACGCCGGGATTGGGAGCAGTTTGCTGCCGATAGTTGGATTTCGCAGAACGTAAGCAAAAAATTACAGACAGAGGCTTTCTGTACTTCTTTTCTGGTGGGATAATAGAACGGGGACCCTCGTAGTAAAGGTAGTCTTACGCTAATTTCCAGGTGGATCAGGGTTAACTTCAACTTTAGGGCTAAGGTAGAGTTTGGGTTTGGGCTAAATTTAGTGCTAGGGCCAGGAAAATGGCCTAGTTACTCTTGCCTGAATTTACCTCAAAGCCACCTGTACTACGTGGGTGGTTCCAATCCCCGGGTCTTACCCGTTTTCTCAAGGAGCTGGACAGAGGGCAGAGATCTGAGTGGGAGAAGCACTTCACACTTTCACTTTCTTTCAAATGCTTAAGACAGAATTTCATCGCTGAAAAAATATTTTTTCGGAAAATAATGTCTTAGAAAACAGTTGTGTTCCAAGCCCTCCAGAGAATTGATTATTTCATCTGGCTAAAAACGTAGAACGGATATTCCAGAACTCTCATCATGACTCAGGAAAGGTTTTTCGGCCAACTTATACGTTCCTTATCTGTAGACGACACTTTCATATGCTATAAAGTGCATACGAAACTGTCGACTACGCTTCGATAGATGAGAGACTTATGCAAACAGAATCTCCATTCACAAGCTTGGGAAGGCGGGTTCAACCGCCACTCTAACTGCCAGTTACCCGAAGCGCCCACATCGGAATGGAATTCATCGCAATTTAGCTGCGAGATAAAGTGGCTCTCGTTTCTGACGAATGTGCACTGGGAAACCAGCAGCGACAGTGCCCTCCTAGCACGAAGGGCTGAGGTCTGGTACACTGACAGTCTTATAAAACTGGTCCGAGTCTGTTGGTGGCGTTATGACATGGCGATAGGAAACCGTCATTAAATAAGTTTGAAGCTGTTGCCTCGCGCTCAGGTTCTCAAGGCAAAGTGCTAAAGAGTACTGCAAAAAGAAATCCGCTCGACTTTTATGGATCCCCTGATAGCAAAAGTTCCAGGAAACGCCATGAAAATGTCTCCTCTTGGAGTACTAAGATCAATGATGCAGCGTCAGCGAGAACTGACGTCCTCCGCAAAGTTGGTGCGAAAGAACAGACAGTTAGCACTGAGGACTGAAATTCCTAAACGTCCGTCGACCGCGATCCCAAAAACCTGTTGAAGTGCAGGCTTTCTTAGCACAGTGTGAATGTCTGCTACAGTAGGTGACCTAACTCATGAAATGTCTACCGAAATTCCGAAATGCGTTTTCGTTTCAAAAAGATTAATTAAGTAGGGTTGTGAAACTAGTCAGCCTGCAACATAATTCTATAATGATTCAGTAACCTCAGGAAATCGGTTTTTGAACGAATTTATTTCCGACTGTATGTCAGAACTATGCTTTGCAAAAAATGACTACTTCAGAAGCATAAAATTTTCTCATTGATTTTCGATGCCCTTAAAAATTCAAGTATATTTCATAAAAAACATGCTTAGAAATATTCTTTCTTCTGACCATTTGGTAGAAATGACGTCTTTCACTTTTATACTTAAAGAACGGGTATAATTTGGTTTTCAAATAGTTTTTAATTGTAAGATTTTTTAATGCCGGAAATGGCCGTTCGTAAAACGTTGTCTTTGCGTTTACCAATGTGGTTTGTAAAGTTTACAATATGGTTCAAATCCACTGCTAAATTTTATGAACCCCATATGGTCGCCTCTTAACATCGTAGAGAAATGTATGGTTTTCGGCACGCGGAAAATATACGACTTGTAGTTTGGAAGCCCTGAATGCAAGTGCAATGGCAGGTCGGATATAAAATCATTTGGGAATTGGAAAAGTTTTTGAAAATCATATTATACCCTTCCTTTAATCATAAAATTGGAATAAGACGTTATTTTCTGCCAAGTGAGCAAAAGAAAGAATATTTCTATGCACGTTTTCCATGAAATATAATGGATACTTTAAGGACACCGAAAATCAATTAAAGGATGCATGCTACTTAAGTAGTCATTTTTTCAGACATGGTTTCTGCATGCAGACGGACGAAAGTTCGTTCAGAAGCCAATATCCTGAGGTAACTGAATCATTATAGAATTATGATGTATAATGATTAGTTTTACAACCTACTTAATTAACCTTTTGGAAACAAAAACACATTTCGGAATTTCGGTTGACATTTCATTAGCTAGCCCACCTCCTGCACACGTTTAAAATTCGAACCTCTGACTTAGGTCCCCAGATGACCAAGGTCCCAGGACTCAATTCTCGTCTCGCATGTCATTACAGCTATCTGTGCGATTTCGCTTGTCGACTCAGTGTGGTAAATGTCCCATAGAGCTGGCGGACGTTGTTTTGTTTGAAAGAGGACTAGTCAATGGCTGGGTAGCTTATGTACGACTAAAGAGGCATTTATTAATATTCACTGCCTGCCAGTGCAATAAGGAAGCCTATTAGTAGCTGAAATAATCGATTGAAAGACTCTCGCGTGCCGTGATCTGTTGATCATTGTCGGAAATCGAAATACCCGGGCCGAGTTAGGCGACTCTTCAAACAATTGAATTTTTGGTCGTTGTGCATCTGGTTCTCGGTGCAACAGTCGTGAGAAAGTGTTGAAACCCGCTGATTAGCAGACGCTAGGTGTCATCGGCAGGTATTTCCGGCCTCGCCGCAAACATCTCACCTGGTTGTGCAGACGGTCAGATTGTCGACATTTTCGCCGCTTAAAGGTTACGGAGTTGGTCTTATGATAGTAGACGGATTCTTGGTTCCGCGACTGGCAGTGCATACCGGTTGGACCATGATTTAGCTCACAAACTACTGAACGTCCGCCTGTCCGCCTCACCCAAATCCTCGAGTTTAAGACGCTTCGCTGTTGTAAAACTACGACAATCCAAAATAGTTGAGACCCTCAACACGAAAATTCGCTATCGCACTGTAACTCAACTCAGGAGACAGTAGAAAATAGACACCACGTGTGTCAGCATTCCGTGGAATTTTTGAGAGAATTCTTTGGGCCACACAAAGCTGACATGGTGGCTGGATCAGTGGAAAAGCCTGCAATTGTCTGTGCTGACGGCTCGAGTCAAGTGCCACAACAAGTGTTCTTTCCAATAGCTCCAAATAATGACGGAAAATTCCCCCCCTCCCATGGGAACTGACGACAAAAGCTGCTGGCCTGAAATACCAATCTTCACTGCTGAGGCCCCGGGCATCATTGACACTCAAGAATGCGGTAGGTTCTTTGCACCGGGTGACTTTGTTCGTGGTGTGAGTGACAGCTTGATTACAGACAACTCGGTCATGTTTGCGAGCTGGCGCGAGCATCTGGAGCACCTTTGAAATCTTGATGACCAACCCACCACCACCGCCTCCCGCCCCTCCCTCCTCTCCTCAGTTCGCTGTTATCCCTCTCCAGAATATGCAGAGTCGTGTGACCTTCTCCAAAGCAGGCACTGATGCAATATCGAGGTTGCGCAACAACATGGCGCCCCGATCGAACTATCGTCTGTAACTTTTGTGTCGACACTCTGTCACCACGACACTACGAGTTGGTTAAGCAGGTGTTATGAGCTGAACTCCCCGAGAGGACTAGGGCAAACCCATCCTTATGCCTGCCGTTAAGTACTAAAATTATACAATGCTCGAGAGCTACCGCACATAAGCCTCGTGGTCATTGCTACAAACGTCCTGGCCATTGTCATTCTCAGGCAAATTCAGAATATACCTGAATCTAAGCGAAGATCCGGTCAGTCTTTGTTCCGAGTTGAGCGCGTATGCATCGATCAGATGTTCGCATTGTGGAATGCCTCCATGCATTCCGTGAAGGACACCAGCAGTCGGCAAATGTCATTTGCAAAAATCACGGCCATGATCGGAGCCTAAAAAAGCTCCATAACTACAAAAGTTCCGCTGTACAACAATCTTTTCAAGCCGTCCTATATTCGTCCAGCCATTGCGTAAACTTTCCTATAACCAATCCTGTTCAATTATACCACTGACTGTATTCCCAGAATATTCCCACGCGGTTTTTATGGTGTCGAATCAACACTCTGACGTCGCCTAATTGAATCCGACTACCCTAACGATATCGCTATCGTCGAGGCAAGTTAGGATGACATACAAAGTGCTCTTTCAAGAACAAATTAAGTCGCTAAATCGGTCGGTTTATCCGTAAACGTTGAGAGGACCAAAATTTTTTCGAAGTATCTCTTTTTAGAGAGAATGCACTCCTCGGAAGGGAATGAATCACGTCATATACCACTGGGCGACGCTGTTTTCGAAAGGACAGAGTGAGGGGGACATCGTCTCCAAATCGGTGGTGCAGCTGGAGTTTTCACCAAACGAAGAAAATGACTATGCCCCCGACGTGTGTTTCCATTGCCATAAAGGCCCGCGTGTGCTGGCGATACGTTCAGCCAGTCCTCCTACGCGCATGGAAGACGATCAAGAACTGGGAATGTTTGAGTGTCATTGCCACAGGGCCATCATTGGAGTGGAGCACACAGACGTCGCCTGGAATGAAACAGATGCCACGCGCTGGGACAACATCGGGAGTATAGCTTGGATCATTCAGAGACTACGGAAGTGGTTTTGACAAGTTCTATGACGCCCACCTCATGAGTCTAGTGTTGCTGCCCACCTAGAGACGTCGAAGAGGGGATCACCGCATGATCTGACTCGACACGACTCTCGGGCCCGGGATGTAGTTTTTGGACCTTTTGGTTTTAGCCTCTGTCACTGGAGAAGAGAGTGGGTATGGCTCTCCAGATCGGCTGCTGCAGATCATTCTGCACGGAGAAGTGTTATACGCAAATATCCCTGTGACCGGTTGAATCCTCCACGATCACAGCCTTGCCAGGTATAAGTATAAGCAAGTTGCTGTAACACTTTTGGTGGCTAATAACACATTCGAGTTTGCAATTCAAACAAGCGACGTTGGTGAGAATGGTTTCAAACTTGTTAAAATTTTAGACGACTATTTGTTTAATTTTTCTGATAGTTCGACCGCCGATTTCGACGGGATCCACAGCAGGGCGAGAGCAGGGATCGTGAATTGCGTGAGTTAGTTCATAATGGTAGTAGACTTGTGCTACATCTACCACACTCTCAACTCTTTCCTCACATGCATTTTGTGTCAAGACAGTGTCTAGAAGACCGGAGGTGGGAAAGAGTCAGGTGTATGGTGCGGCCGGAGCCGCCTCAAGGCGTGCCGCCACACCTGGCTTGGATCTCACGCACTGGGGTACCCTAGAAGCAATATTAAGAAGGAGCCGTTGCGGCCTGAACCTCAGTTCACCAGTCCGCCACTCCACAAATACATTGGACTGGCTGAAATACTAGTTACCCCGTTAGTTGAAAACCTCCCATGCCACAGTTTTCAGCGCACCAGAATAACTTCAAGCGCGCCAAATTGTTTATAGTAAGGAAAGTGCGCTGAGTCGTCGAACTCACTTTCTCTCTCCATTCCCGGGCCCCAGCCACTGTCCGAGCCGGCCAGATGTCTGTTGCAGTGAATAGGCGCAATGACTGAAAGAGCTAAAGAGCCCCTCTGCGCGCCGCACGCATGACCTATCTCCCCAAACTTGTTTATCACGCCCTTCGCATTCAGTTAATACCAGCAGCTGTATACTGGACTTTATTATGGAACTCCTTATTGCTGCATAGTACGTCTAGCTAATATCTGCTGTCTTTTTGGTATTCAAACTGAAGTGTATTATGAGAGCGAGGGCTGCGTAGTTGCGTGTCTGCAGTTAGCGTTCTGTAAGCGCAGTTTCAATGTGTCCGCGTCGCTCCTTAATCGAGGTCAAACGGGGAGGCCGGTAGAGGACTATGGACACACATATGCCACGAAGAATGTACTCCCTGGCAGCAGGTGAAAAACTGAGCCGCCAAAATGGGCCAGGGTCTCAACTTTGACCGGATAGAGGGCGTGGCCATAGGAGAGTCACACGAAATGGCAGTGTCCGGGAGCGTGACAGTCATCCGGCCTCTCAGCCAGTCTGTAGAGGGGCCTATCTGTGACATATACGACTCTGTATATCCAGTTGGTTGAAGGTAGACAGGGCACTGCGCGGTCTGATCCGGCATCCGTAGCAGCAGGCAGAGAGAGCAGGGGGCAACGCCACACAGGATTAATCAGTTTTCTCCGATCCCCGAGAGCCAGCACTTCCAATCGCACAAGTGGCGCCTATAAGAGTTCAAGAGCCACATACGCTAATCAAAGTCCCTCAATGAGACACTACGTCTTCGTCTTTGGCGTTGTCTCCCATCCACGGACCACTGTTCAGAGGGGATGCACAACCACCCAGTAACAGACATAGATGGATTCTGTGGGACGATATTGCTCAATCTAACTTCAGAGACGATAGGAACTGTGGTCCGCATACCTTCTAGTGAGACCCGTACAGAGGATACGAAAGTTTTTAAAAATGGCTAAACAATACTGATATTTAAGACGTCAGATTTCTAGTAGGACTTGTCCAGTGCACATCTCTCTGTTCTGCTATTTTTCTTGGCAGTTACACTTCCTCTCCTATCCACAAGTCGACCGACTTGTAACTTAACCGGTTCACTCTGTCCCTTTAAGGTGGATCACTGCGCTAGGGGGCGAAAAGAACAAAGTTTAACTCGCCCAATCGAACACGCAGGCAGCGAGGCCTGTGAGGTCTTTGGCTGAGCCTGTCGCGTACGTAACCCGATCGGTGTACGCACTTCCAATATAAGATATATGTGCAGACTGGCATTGCCAACAAAGACAGGGGAGACTGGAATTGAGATTTCCAGCTCATTGGCCGACGTCAGCCAGCCTTACCCAACTCCAAGGTGTGAAAACCCTGGAGCTCGATTCCGCAACCTGTTGGTTAGAAGCCCAATGTCCTAACCAGTGAGCCATGGGCTCCTTGTCCTGTCAGTTTGGATCGGGTATATATGGTTGTAGAGGGGCGTTGTTCGGCTGCTGGTTGAGCCCGAGAGTGACCCCAAGCCACAATGGGACGGGTGAGTTCGTAACGCGATCGGTGAGCGTCCCTCTAGCATTATATTTGCATGTATATATATATATATATATACACATATATATTATGGCTTGCTCGAATGAGAAATCTTGTGATTTGGTTCTATCCCGCATTTCGCACTGAGAAGAGTCTCCTTGCCATCAGACTGGACGCCGAAGGGAAGCATCCCATTTGGAGTGAGGCCTTTGAGCTCCAGGATACCCTCGCTCTCCTCTCTTAGGAGGTTAAACACGCGGACCATTTTCCCGATGGCTCGAATTTTATTGCGAATGACTTTCTTACGAACTGCCACCGTTCCTCCCTCGGCTTGTGCCTGCCTTCACTGTCGTTTCCTCTTTAGGACTAGAACGGGCCAGCGAGTTCGTCTTCAGCAAACGACCGCCCTTCTCACGTATGGCAGCCTCGAAGGTGTCGTCGGCGTCTGAGAGTAGTTCATCGTCAGAGCAGATCTTCAGAACATTCACCAACATCTCCGTCACCTTCTCATCGACGAATGAAAGGGACCAAGTGAACACGTCCATGAAATTGGAGAGCCAGTAGGGATGAGAAGAGCAGTTAAACTGTCAAACGTTCATCACACTTTTCTCGTGCTTCAAAATGGCCGACTTGTTGTTATAAACATCCAGGTAGTCAGGTGCACTGAATATCGTGATCAGAAAAGGGAATCCTGTGGTTTGGCTCTTTCGGTGCATGCGATACCCGCGTCTTGAGTTTCATGAGCGCGGATGATGGAGAGAAGGTTATTGGCCTGAAGGAAATCGCAGGACGCTGTATAGCCAAAAAAGTAGGAACATCCACGGACACTGTTATGTGAAAAGTTGTCGGTATTTTGCTCATTTCCGAGATCTTCCAGCGGGTCTGACCAGAGAAGGTCCCATATTACCCCAAAGGCGGATGGCTCTTTGAAACGAACGATCCTTCTGATGTCATCCAGGGAACGAATTTCAGGAGAGAGACCACCGTGGACGCAGAGAAACTGTTGGTTCATGAGGACCGCCAGCGGCAAGCAGTCCATGCAGGCATTGTACACGTCTTCATTGTATTTAATCTTGCATTCTCGTTTGAAAATGAATTACTCGGTTAAGTGACGACACTCGTGATTGCCGCAAAAGAGTAAAAAGTTATTTGGATGCAGGATTTTCAGGCACCACAGATACAGCGCACACGATGCTGAAGTACCCCCGATCAACGTAATCCCACAGGAAGAGATAACGAGTCGTAATAGGGTTGCCACCCACTTCGAACAATTTCATAAGATCGAAGAACTGGCCGTGTATGTCGCCGCAAACTGTAACTGGCGCCTCAATCTCCAGAACGTTTCTTTCTTCGCGTAGTAGTGCAGTACCATCGTGGATTATTTTCATTGCGGCGTCATCCGTCAAGCGGCCTTTCAAAATAAAATGCTGCTTCAAATTTTCGATATTAGGTTTTCCCTGCGATTCAAATATGTCGGAAATTTCGAGCCTATGAATGGGAGGATATGGAACAGATCTGACCGCCATTTCAACTGTCGTGGACTTCTAACTAACAGGTCGCGAGTTCGAGCCTCGGATGTTCCACACTTTGAGGTTGGGTATGACTGGCTGACGGCGGCTAATAAGCCAGAAAAGGCCATTTCAGTCTCCTTTGTCTTTCTCGATAATAACAAGTACATACATATATGTTGAAAAGACATGGGTTCTGTGGGACAAGAGGGTTTATTGCGTAACTTTTCGACACTGGTTCCCCAGGTTGTCGTCAGAGACAAACGGAGAGCAAATGTGAAAGCAAGAAACAGGTAGCGTCACGAGTGCACATAAAATCGACAATTTCATGGCGTGTGCGCCGATAGGCGGCCGCCATGTGTCAGCCTGATCTGGTTGGCTCATTTCTTTTCCATTTCTCCTTCAGGTTTCTGTACACGGCATCCAACTTGGGATGCCGATTGATGCATGATTCATCTGAGTCCATTGCCTCGAGGACTTCTCAGTCTCGTGACGTTAGCTGTTTCCTGCTTCCACATTTGCTCTCCGTTTGCGTCTGACGACGGCCTGGGGAACCAGCGTCGAAAATGTACGCAATAAACCCTCTTCTCCTACAGAACACATTTCTTTTCAACTTATATCGCTTGAGATGCCTTCCTTTCAATACTTACGCATATATATATATATGTTTCGATCGTTACAGGGGACAATGCCCAGTGCTGTCCTGTGGTGCATGTCCAGCAACTGTAAGTTGCGCGTAGATTTGTTAATAGTCAAGTAGGCTGGTGATGCACCTGCCTCACTCTCTCCTCCAACACCCAACAAACTCCGAGGGCAAGTAAAAATCAGTACGATGTGGGCTGACAAAACTGAACGGCCCGCCTTCATGCGCCACACACGAGATGGCCCCTACTGCAAATGTACCAGGCTAAGTTTTGGGGTCTCACGTCTCGCTCTGATCAGAGTACCATGAATTCACATAAGGAAGGCGTCACTGAGACCCGTCGTTTTTTACTCCTGAAAAGAACCGAGCAATGCTGTTGGTTGGCAACCTCCCAAGCCAGGACTGATAGCCGGTTGTTGTATATTCGGACGCGTCAGATTTATTGTAATGAAAAGTGCCCTGAGTTGCCGTAAGGATGAATTTCTCAGTATCGGCCTTTCTTTCAGAGACTTGTCCAAAGAAAATTGGGCATACTGACTGAAGTGACGTGAAGTGGTTTTCTACCAAGCGCACACACGTGCGATCGAGTAGGTCCATGCACACCCTATGCGTGTTTTCACAGTGTTAGGCAATGTCCTCAATTGGTTTTGATGAAGGGACTTAGTGGGACCCGACAGACAATGAAATATATCATATACATGACCCAAAAGGAGGAAATAGCCTTGGTCTTTGTACATCCTACCTATCTGTCTGGAACTTCTTGGAGGGATTGCACATGCGGGCTTCTACCTACATGTAAACACTAGTTTGTTCAATAAATAGGATGCGCCCTTCTCCTTCTTCTGGCAAATCCGCTTATGAATGTACAGTTTCTTATTAGAGCCGAGTTTCAAAGCTTCTGCCATATTTGACTCGAAATTGACCTTTTGAAGACCAAAGCAAACTTCCTTTTTTCAGCTAAATCCAATACCAAAGTAGATTCAAGGATAAAGAACCTTACGAAATGGTTTGGCGTGGATTACCCTTTAATTATAGGTAATACCTCGGAGTCGAATAACTGACAGCCGCTAAGTAAAGAGGGATTATCAAAATTTTTGACTTTCCCTGACTTTTGGCATCAGAGCACACACTGACATCGGATTAACCAGGCACCCCCGGTTGGCCATACAATAATTGCAGCCTGGTAAGACATCATGGCCCCGTAGTAAGAACGTACAATGTCAGATTATCAAGTTGTTGGCTTAAATAAATAGCATAGAAGCAAAAACTAGTTACTTCTACGACGTTTTCGCGACGTTCAAGGCGAAAACCTAGTATAGTAATTAAGGCCTTCCAGAACGCAACACCATCGACATCTCCACCACCTAGGTTGTGACGCATAGTTTGGCTTGCGGGTTAAAATACGACGTCGTCTCGAATACTTACTCTGCCAGTATTTTTGGTTCCTTTAGAACTTTGAGAAAAAGACAGAGTTTCCCACACATGTTTTTAATAATACACTGACACAAGTACATATGGTCTTCGTTTCTTCCCGGACGCACGTTCAGGTTGCCAGAGCGATTCATGTCTATTGTAGGAAATCTCAGCAAACTAATCTGTGTCTACGCAGGACAGACATTTCAGACCGCGACTAAATATTTCACCAGTTGCCGACAATACGGGCTGTCCCAAAAGTCACCAGAACTTCCTTTTCTCCACTTTTTTTCAAGTGTCATTCGGAGAGACCTGAGGCCATCAGCGTTTGACAGCGTGAGCCTTGCAGATTTTGCTCGCTCATCACTCCCTCACGCATGCATAGCCAGTTGACGGTGGGGCAGCGTTGAAAAATTGTCGCCTGGCAATTCGAGCAGCTTTCGGGCCGTCACACTGCTCGGCGAGGTTTGGCCCTGCAGCACCATTAGCTTCATAAAAAAGAACTTTAGTAGATGCGATTACGCCAACTTTACACATGTCACGTGTTTCCCCCCCTACTCTTTTAATTTAGCGACTGTACCTCGGTGTGGGGAGTCCTCATACGCCATCCTCGATTACATCAGTTATCAGTTCACACGCGCTTCCTTGTGCGCGCACTTCGAGCTCCGCCTGCGCTCTCTTTCCCCTATTAATCTAACGAGTGGCTAATTTAGGTGTATTAACTAATATTTAGGTTGGACTGCAGGAGCAAGCCTCGCCCGCTGCTCCACCCATTGGCGCGATTTGCATTATCCATGACAAATTTCTGGAAACGGGAGCTGTCCCGACGAACTACGCAGCGGAAGGTTTGCTACTATCATCACTGATGGAAACACCGGACGCCCGGAGCAGACGTTCATGTCAAATTAAGGTTTTTCAAAGGCCTTTTAACGTAAGACCATGATGCTGGTGCGGAATTGCATGAATCAGTTCTCCACTATTACCAAAACGACCTTCAGCTCATGGAAAACTTATAGTTTTGCGACTAGTTTGCCTTTCATCTCGCTGGTTGGATGAACCGACACTACTGTCGTAGTTTGGAAAAAGTAAGCTTAGAAGCAATTCTGAAGCATGGGCGAGGCTCTCCGAAGCTACTGGTTTGATGTGCCATGTCTAGCACTAGACCATTTTTCTTTACGCGATGCATTCAGTGGCACGACCATCGATACAGGGAAAAATTGCTCGGAGATACTGCAGACGTTTGGCATTTCACAACTTCAGGCGTAAAGCGCCCCTGTAATTGTCTTCTTTCAACACGACGGAGTCCTCACTCACTTCTCCAGACTAGCGAGGGATCTCCTGAAAATCAAGTTGTCTGACCGAAGGATCCGTCGGAGGGTTCCCCCTGACCTCATGCACTAGGGTCTTCTTCTCAGAGGCCATGCCAGAAGCAAGCTGTATGCCACTAAGTCCTGTGATCTGTCACAACTTGAGGAAAGAATCCACACGGCCTACATCGAGGCTGAGTAATAGGTGCAACAAAACGTCGGAGATGCCTGCACCCGAAGGCGGCTTAAGGTTGTCGAAAATAGAGCCATTCGTGTGGAAGTATACGGCTAGTCTTCGAGGTGTTGGAACGTGATGGCGAGTCTAGCAAGTGAAGCTGTAATGACTGCGTTGTTGTTGGTAAAAAATATGAATAAGCTTCTTTTCCTGTATAATTTTAGGTGTGTAGCGGCTTTTGTGGCGTCCTCTAGAACACAAGCACCCAGCAATCGATTCGAAGATCTGTCCACACGCTCCTCGGAAACTGTATATCGCATGGTTTTTTTGACTTCACATCTTCCGCCCTCAAAGAGTCTGCGGTGCATAAATGAGTCATTGCTTTCAAAGAAGAACGTGTTAGGAAGTCACGTGCGGGTTAGACCTCCGACGAAGGACTGAAAAATCGTCCCGATGCATTAGTAATCGGACCTCTCAGAGGCCCTGCAAACATCAACAGACGAACTGCTTGGGAGGAA